ACACACACACACACAGGTGATCTGACATCTCCATGATCATCCATCTATCAAACCATCCATCCCCCACCCCGACAAGATCCGAGACCCCCTTACCTCCATGATCTCCAGCAAGGCGTCTGCGATAGCCTCCAGGGAGCTGAGCGGCATCTTCTCGTTCTCCGGTGGGCTCATAGTGAAGGAGCGGTCACCGGGCCGGTAGCTGGTGCGGAACGCGCTCACGGCCGCCGATTTGACCGTGCTGATGCCGAACAGCTGGTAGAACTTGGGCAGGGAGAACTCAGCCAGGCTCAGCTTGAGAACCTGGAGGGTGCTCTCTGTGGATATACATAGTGAATGTGGGGTTTAGCAAACAGACAAAACATGAACACGCATTAACGCACACACACACCACTCCACTCAGCCAAGCTCAGCTTCAGCACCTCTCTGTGGACATATAAAGAGAAAGTGGGATCAAGTTTTAGTTTTAGTAGAGGGTTTTACGGTGCTCGCAACTGCATAAGGTCATGAGTGTCAAGGGGTGGATGTCAACAGAGAAGTCCTTACAGGGAATCAGACTTACTCTGCTCACCTCTCTAGCTTTAACAGCATGAAGTCTGCTTCGACTATCAAGGCACCCCCGAAATAGCGGGTCACAAGAGTGTGACAAACATACAAAAGAAGTAGAGGAGAAATGACGATAGTAAGGATTTGGAAAGAAAAAGCAGCAGTTCCCTGTTGTAGTTCAGGCACAGTTATGAGCATGACATTGATGAATCAGCCCATTTACAATTATAATTCTACTGTGCATAAGAACTCGAGATGTTAATGGTCTCTCCCCAGCCAGGCTCAGCTTCAGCACTTGCAAGATGGTCTCTGGGAACATAGAAAATGTGGGATTGAGCACACAGACTAAACACACATGCACACACACACACACACACACACACACACACATGTAAGCACGCACACACACGCCACTCAACAGCTCAGCTTCAGAACCTGGAGGGTGCTTGTCTGTGGACATACATAGAGAATGTGGGATTGAGCATACAGACAAAACACGCAAACACGCACGCACACCACTCCACCGCTCAGCTTCAGCACCTGCAAGGTGGTCTCTGGGAACATAGAGAATGTGGGATTGAGCACACAGACTAAACACACGCACACACGCGAGCACGCACACACTACTCCACTCCACTGCTCAGCTTCCAACACTTGCACGGTGCTCTGTGGACATACATAGAGAATGTGGGATAGAGTAAACAGACAACACACGAACAGACAACACACGAACAGACACCACTCCGCCAGTATCAGTTTCAGCACCTCGAGGGTGCTCTCTGTGGATATACATAGAGAATGTGGGATTGAGCAACAGACAAAACACAAACAGACACACACACACACACACACACACACACACACACCACTCCACTCCGCCAGCATCAGCTTCAGCACCTCGAGGGTGCTCTCTGTGGATATACATAGAGAATGTGGGATTGAACAAACAGACAAAACACAAACAAGCACGCACGCACACTCCACTCCACTGCTCAGCTCCAGCACCTGCAAAGTTAGTTTAGTTTTAGTAAGTGTTTTACGGCACTTGCAACACAATAAGGTCATAAAAGTGCCGAAGATTAGAGGTGTTACAAGAGAGGAACAAACCCAAAATAAGGATGGGAGATAAAGACGATAGATGGTTGATAGGAAAGAAGGAGCAAACCACACCAGAACACCCACCAACCACCCACCCTTCAACTCTTCGAGGGCATAGTAGACACATATGTCCGAACAGCAGCAGACCAAAGGCAATGTTGTGGAATATTTAAAACCTTCATACACATATCAAAGGCACAAATTGGAAAATTGTACTTTGCATTATATGCACAGTGGCTTATCTTTTTAAGTTTCACATAAAGAAAATGGAACTGAAAAATCTGCTTGTTTTTGTTGGAGTTTTACGGCACTTGCAACACAATAAGGTCACATAAGTGACGAAGAATAGACGAGCTACAAGACAGCAACAAACACAAAAAAGAAGGAGGAGAGATCAGGACGATAGATGTTTGATAGGAAAGAAGAAGCAAATCACACCAGAGCACTCGCCAACCACCCACTGAAAAATCTGCATGAATAAGGAAGTTATGCTTCTGTTTAACACTTTGCCGTCATATCTCGCCAATCGGCGATGTTTACCACCCAGTTTCTTTGGATGTTCCCCAAAATGCTTTTGCCTTTGATGGCAACAGTTTTTTTTACTATATGAGCCTTGTGATGGCAAAGTGGTAAAGGAGAGAGGCAAAACACAAAGCATCTTCAAGCGTAGTGAAATAGCTAAAATGGCCATCCTCAATGAGTTAAAACCTGAGAGCTGAGCCGAGCAGAGCCTGTCCTCACCTGAGAATCTTGTTTTAGTAAGCGTTTTATGGCACTAGGAACACGACCAGGTTCTATTAGTGCCAAAAATTATAGGTGTTACAAGAGGGTAACACACACAAAAAAAGGAGGAAGATAAGTTTAGTTTTAGTAGAGGTTTTACTGTGCTCCCAACTGCATAAGGTCATATGAGCGCCAGAAGATTAGAGGTGTTACAAGAGAGTAACAAACACAAAAAACAAGGAGGAGAGATCAGGACGATAGATGTTTGAAAGGAAAGAAGGAGCAAATCACACCAGAGCACTCGCCAACCACCCACTGAAAAATCTGCATGAATAAGGAAGTCATGCTTCTGTTTAACACTTTGCCGTCATATCCCGCCAATCGGCGATGTTTACCACCCAGTTTCTTTGGACTTTCCCCAAAACGCCTTTGCCTTTGATGGCAACAGTTTTTTACTATATATGAGGCATCGTGGTGGAATCAGGCTCTCGTCAATTTTTAGGCATGTAGAGTTATTATTATCATCTTAAAGCTTGTTCACTTGCCTTTATTTGGATGAAAACAATATCAATTTATCTTGAATAGAAGTCGAGATATTTGCGAAAGAAGGAGGTGGAGGTACTCGGTTTTCAGAAGTAAAATTAATGAGAAAATGGGCGCCAAAGATTAGTTATTTCATTAGCTTAAGAGTCCGTGGTAACTGAAAATTTACATTTTTGGGCCTTTAATCAACGTTTTTCAGAAAAATAAACACAGAAATGAGTTCTTTAATGGGCATGAAGGGTGTTGAGCCAAAAAACAAAAATTTGATAAAAATTCACAAACCTGTGGAAAAATGCAAGTTTCTTCACTTTGATTATTTTGACGAGAGCCTGATTCCACCACGCTGCCTCAAATATGAGCCTTGTGATGGCAAAGTGGTAAAGGAGAGAGGCAAACACAAAGCATCTTCAAGCGTAGTGAAATAGCTAAATTGGCCATCCTCAATGAGTTAAAACCTGAGAGCTGAGCCGAGCAGAGCCTGTCCTCACCTGAGAATCTTGTTTTAGTAAGCGTTTTACGGCACTTGCAACACGACCAGATTCTACCAGTGCCAAAATTGTAGGTGTTACAAGAGGGTAACATACACAAAAAAAGGAGGAAGATAAGTTTAGTTTTAGTAGAGGTTTTACGGTGCTCCCAACTGCATAAGGTCATATGAGCGCCAGAAGATTAGAGGTGTTACAAGAGAGTAACAGACATTAAATAGAAGGAGGGGAGATAAGGACGATAGATGTTTGACAGGAAAGAAGAAGCAAACCACACCAGAGCACCTGCCAACCACCCACTGAGGAAGATTAAAACGATAGACGTTTGATAGGAAAGAAGGAGCAACACCATAGTTTACTTTACTTTTACTTTTCAGATCCAGCGGCCATTTGAGCTGTAGCCCTTCGGCCTGTCCTTAGTTTAGTTTTAGTAAAGTTTTTACGGCGCTAGCAACTGTATAGAACTGTTGATATGCCAAAGAATTTTCAGGTCTTTAGTTTTAGTTTTAGTAAAGTTTTTAAGGCGCTAGCAACTGTATAGAACTGTTGATATGCCAAAGAATTTACAGGTCTTTAGTTTTAGTTTTAGTAAAGGTTTTACGGTGCTCACAACTGCATTAGGTCATATGAGCGCCAGAAGATTAGAGACGTTACAAGAGAGTAACAAACACAAAAAAGAAGAAGGGGAGAGATAAGGAAGATAGATGTTTGATAGGAAAGAAGAAGCAAACCACACCAGAGTACCCGCCAACCACCCATATTTACAGATTTTTACAGCAACACCACATGAAAGCACTCACCAACCGCCCGCTCACCTGAGAACCGGAGCTGTGAGCAGGTGCAGAGGGAGTGTATGATGTTAATGACCAGTCCGTGGGTGGAGGCGCGCAGAGACAGCGGGCCCGTGGACACCAGCAGGGTCACGATATGGAACAGGAAGGGGAGGTGGCTGGCGACTGTGGAAAGGGAGGACACATACAGAGATATAGACAAGTACAATAAACGGTAATAAATGGGTCTGTTTAGAAAATACATGCGTCATGACGATGTTGAATCAGACGCTCCTCAATTTTTGGGGACATATAGTTATTAATACCATCTTAAAGATTGGTTTACTTGTCTTGCATTAGGCGAAAAAAATACCCCTCTATCTTGAACTGAAGTCGAGACATTTGTGATTGAAGGTGGTAGGGTCGCCTGGGTGTAAGAGGTAAAACTATTGAAAAAATGGCCGCCAGAGTTTGCTGACTTCCAAAGCTTGAGAGTCCCTGGAAACTGGAAATTTACATGTTTCGTGCCTTTAATGAACGTTTTTCGGTAACATCTACTCAGAAATACGTTTTTTTTAAAGGACATAAAAGGAGTGGAGCCAAAAATAGAAAATATATGCACAATAAATGGTCTCCTCAAAGACATACAAGCACAAAAATACAGCTGACCCAGTATGTCATCTCTCATTCTCTGGGCTACTGAAGCGTTATGAAACAGAGGAAATGTGCCAACAAAATGTCAAGCTATTGAGAAAAAAAATAAATTGTGGACTCAAGAGCTGCCTATTCATGAAAGAGTCTGTAAGTTCTCCAATGCCAATTTTCAGTACTTCTCCTGACTTTTTCCAGTAAGTTTCAGCACTCAGTACAGTAAGCGTCTTTAGTTTTAGTAAGAGTTTTACGGTACTCACAACACAATAAGGTCATATAAGTGCTGAAGATTAGAGGTGATACAAGAGAGTAACAAACACAAAAAAGAAGGAGATATAAGAACGACAGACATTTGATAGGAAAGAAGAAGCAGGCCACAGCAGAGCACCCGCAACAACCCACGAAGATTGGAGGTGTAACAAGAGAGTAACAAACAAAAAAGAAGGAAGAGAGAGAAATAAGGACAACAGACATTTGATAGGAAAGAAGAAGCAAACCACACCAAAGCACCCGACAACCACCCACTCTCGTTTAGTTTTAGCAAGAGTTTTACGGCACTTGCAACACAATAAGGTCATATAAGTGCCGAAGATTAGAAGCGTTACAAGAGAGTAACAAACGAAAAAAAGGAGGAGAGATCACAACGATAGATGTTTGATAGGAAATAAGGAGCAAACCACACCAGAGCACCCGCCAACCACCCACTCTTGACCAAGCCAAAAGAAGACAGAGAGGGGAGATGAGCACCCACCAGCCACCAGGAGCAGCCTCTCATTGAAGAACCCCATGCCATGGAAAGTGAGACCGAAGGAAAAAGTTCCCGTGAGGGACAGGTTTGTTTTAGTGTTTTAGTAAGAGTTTTACGGCACTTGCAGCACAATAAGGGTCATATAACCATTCACGGATGTAAGACGTACCGTCCAGGGAGTTGTTGAAGGACAGCATGAGCAAGTATCTGGCCAGGATGGCGATGTCGTCCCACATGAGATGGTGCTCCAGGGTGGAGGTCGGGGACGTGCACGTCTTGTCGATCAGCTGGGGGGAGGACAACGCAGGACACAGGTCATTTCATGGGGACAGGACACGGGTCATTTCATGTGGACAGGACACGGGTCATTTCATGTGGACAGGACACGGGTCATTTCATGTGGACAGGACATGGGAGGACACGCTTATAGGAGATACAGTACATACATATCAGCTGGGGGGAGGACAACGCCGGACATGTGGACAGGACACAGGACATGGGTCATTTCATAAGGACAGGACACAGGTCATTTCATGTGGATAGGAAACGCGACGACATGCTTACAGGAGACGCAGTACATACATATCGGTCACAGGGCACACACAGTTCATACATATATACAGGTAACAGGGCACACACAGTTCATACATATATACAGGTCACAGGGCACACACAGTACATACATATATACAGGTCACAGGGTACACACAGTTCATACATATATACAGGTAACAGGGTACACACAGTTCATACATATATACAGGTAACAGGGCACACACAGTTCATACATATATACAGGTCACAGGGTACACACAGTTCATACATATATACAGGTAACAAGGTACAAACACAACAGGACACAAGAGTACACAACAGGACATTGTAGGGCACAGAACATAAGGATATGAGGACACAATAGGACTCTACGACACAATGACACAATAGGACATAAGGTTTTTGTTTGTTTAGTAAGAGTTTTACGGCACTTGCAACGCAATAAGGTCATATAAGTGCCGAAAATTAGGGGTGTAACAAAAACAAAATAGAAGGAGGGGAGATAAAGACGATAGATATATGATAAGAAAGAAGGAGCAAACCTCACCAGAACAACCGCCAACCACCCACAAGGACACAAGAGGACAGACATATAAAGAAATATAAGGACACAAAGACATACAAACGCAGCAAAAGAAAGAAGAAGTAAACTTCACCAGAACACCTGCCAACCACCCACAGCGACACAAGGACACAAAAGGGCAAACAAAGAAATATGAGGACACAAAGACATGCGATCACAACAAGACACACATGGGGACACAAGAAGACGTCGCACAAGGACACAATAAGACAACGTACCCGACATAACCGGCCTATGACCTTCCTGGAGACCAGCTGGACGTTGGCAGAGGTGAGAGCCACTGCTGTGTCTGCCATGATCTCAGCTTGAATCGAACCCAGACCGCCCGTGACACTGCGCTGAAACACACAAAAGGAGACATTAGTTGAGATTAAACACTATGGCTGGCCCCTAGAATACCTCAGGGGAAGGCGTTCAAAAGTGCTGCAGCTGTTTTTCAAGAGAAGTATATCATTACCCTCTTCAACAAAGGTTTCAAACTTGAGGCTCAAAGGCCAACAAAGGCTTGCAAGACAATATTTTGTAGCCCGTAGTTGACATCAAAGCTTAGTGTTAGTGAAGTCCAATTAGAATCTGACTAAGCTTCTCTGGCAGCAAGGAGTAGTTTTACGAAGCTGTCTATAGCTGATTCACTTTCCTCTTTTCTCTACCTGCGCTTAATACAAGACAAAAATCAAATTGCTCTGTTTAAATCATCTCAGATCTTGGCATATGGGTCTGTTCAATGACCAACAGAATCAAGAAGCCCATTCATAAAGGTCACTGCAAACTAAGGTTCCGGCACATGTTCTTTGACGTTAACCTAAAGCAGATTTTTTTTAAATAGGGGATTTACAGCAAACAATTAAACATTTAAAAGTTGACCTATTTTCCTCAACTCCACACTTTACCATTCACCTAAGAACCACAGTCCAACAGACAGGGAGAGTACTTTTCATGACTCGCCTGGAGATGTGGATGGAATTTTCAAGCTCACAAAATCATGTGGGGGCAAGGGGTGTCACTGTCTCAAAAGGAGCAATTTGTAGGCTAGGCTACTGTAAATCAATTATTTTAGCGATCCTGTGTACGCACTTTACTTTTACTTTACTTTTCCGATCCAGCGGCCATTTGGGTTCTAGCCCTTCGGTCTGTCAATATGGCAAAGAATATGTACGCTCCAAAACAGCATTTTTTAATATAGGGCCCACATATAGAAAATTCTACTTAAGTTACCTCAATAAAGCAGTGCAGGTAAACCACCTCAATACTGTTTAGTTGTACTACCTTTATGCAGCTGCCTTATTATACTACCTTTATAAAGCTGCATAACTTTACTACCTTTATAAGCTGTACTACCTTTATAAAGCTGTCTGGTTGTACTACTTTTAGAAAGCTGTCCAGCTGTACTGTCTGGCTGTACTATCTTTATAAAGCTGTCTGGCTGCACTATCTAGCTGCACTACCTTTATGCTATACTATCTAGCTGTGCTACCTTTATAAAACTATCTAGCTGTACTACCTTTATAAAACTATCTAGCTGTACTACCTTTATAAAACTATCTAGCTGTACTACCTTTATAAAACTGTCTAGCTGTACTACCTTTATAAAACTGTCTAGCTGTACTACCTTTATGAGGCTGTCTAGCTGTACTACCTTTATGAGGCTGTCTAGCTGTGCTACTTTTATAAAGCTGTCTGGCTGTACTACCTTTATAAAACTGTCTGGCTGCACTACCTTTATGCTGTACTACCTTTATAAAACTGTTTAGCTGTACTATCTTTATGAGGCTGTCTGGCTGCACTACCTAGCTGTACTACTTTTATAAAACTGTCTAGCTGTACTACCTTTATAAAGCTGTCTAGCTGCACTACCTTTATGAGGCTCTCTAGCTGTACTACCTTTATAAAGCTGTCTAGCTGTACTACTTTTATAAAGCTGTCAGGCTGCACTACCTTTATAAAACTGTCTAGCTGTACTACCTTTATAAAGCTGTCTAGCTGTACTACCTTTATAAAGCTGTCTAGCTGTACTACCTTTATAAAGCTGTCTAGCTGTACTACCTT